AAAAGGAGGATTGCAACTTGTCCCAGATAGAAGTAGATGAAGTGTTTAGTTTCGTGTGTAACATATGAACCAAAGTTCCTGCCAACTATGCAATGCCATGTTGGGTTGTATTTCTTGTCAAACTCTTTTTTAACATAAGCGGCAATGTCCTTTTCAATATTGAATTTTTCCATTGCTTGAGTTGCACATTCTACAGCATCCTGCTGCATATCCTCGGTCATATCTGCATTTTTGATTACAGCTTTTCTATCTGTCATCTTCAAATAGAACAAAACGCAAGGGATTTTAGTCTKTAAAATTTCAATTATAAGTTAAATCCACTCACCATTTTAATAATCCGATCCCTAATCAAATGCGAAGAAACTCACCTTGTCTAGGAATTAATAGGCACAAAATAGTTAGTCAATCTTCTACTAACACTTTGAAACACTGAAACCTTCCTCGAAATACACTTTACGTGTGCGTGGTKTAAAGTTTTGTTTTGTTTTGGTTATTTTTTTTTCTTTTCTTGACGATGAAGTGGACGTAATTGGTAGGTGGAAACAAGTAAGGGTGCCGTGATTGGTTGATTTAGCATTTATATTTTGGCATCCTATAACTAAAGAAGGTTTAGCATAACTTTATCCTTTTTAAAATCGTTTTTTTTTTTTCTATTCGTTCGATCCCTGACTGTATCTGTATTCTGGTTTTCCCTTCTTATTTCCCTTTGATTATTTTGTTTCAAAGCCATAAATGTTGAGTCTTATTTCCGTTAATCGATCGCTACTATAACGAATAATAGAAGGGACAACCAATAGCAAAAGAACACCATTATCAAAATTATCTTATCAAAATTTCTGCTATTTCAACAGTTCCAATTAAGTATGAACCGACTTGACATGTTTTACTTCGTGGCGGAGTTCATGCTGAAACTTCACATGACACTCAGCTCCTCAATCAACCCCCGGGAGTGGCCGGGGAGTTAATTAAGACTTCAATTTTACATGTATCAAAGGAAATCTCTCATATCAGAGCCGGGGAAAACATTGTTGAAATGCATGCTCACCATTCTCCCTTAATATTCTCTGGAGGTCTTGGGCAGTGGTTTCAATTATTGACTGATATATAAGCAAAGTTCTTTTTTTTTTTTGAGTCACAACACTCTGAATGGACAGGTGAACGAGCGGTCGACCGTTTCATAGGGGTTACATTTTACGGTAAAATTTCAGAAAACGCCGAATACTGAAGATTTATTTATTCCAAGACCGAAATACAATGCTGGTTGTTCTATCGCTAATAATAAAGCAGCTCCGTAYAGTCAAGTATTTCAATAGAAAGCAAAAAAAAGTTTAGACTGTCATTTTGTAACGCAGCTATTAATGTGGAATTTAATAATAAAAATGACTGGCAATCAATATTTAGTATTCTGTGGGTGTTGCGACGTCGGGGAAGTTGTGTAATGTGGRATTCCTGTGTCTTATCTGCCCCTGAGAGCCCCTCGATTAGAAACTGGACACGTGGTTTTATTACATGACGCCATTTTTCTTTGAGTAACTTTTGAAGTAGTAGCTTCTCTTTGAGGGTTTTTCATCCCTGTATAGAATATTATTTTGAAAGGAAACCACCATGAATCGAAGTAATAACAACGACTGTCGTGTTTATGTTGGAAATTTGCCTCAAGACGTCAGAGAAAAAGATCTTGAAGGTGTATTTTATAAGTATGGCCACATCGCTGACATAGATTTGAAAAACCGACGCGGAGGGCCACCGTTTGCCTTTGTAGAGTTCGAAGATCCAAGGTAAATCATTATATTGGTGGATTAACTTTTGAAGGAATTCATTGGGCTTAATATGAAAGGAAATATGTTTTGAATCAGCGTTATTCTAAATCAAAATGACCGATTACCTGACGTGGCTGTTTCGGAATGTCGCAGAGAGCCCCTCGATTAGAAACTGGACACGTGGTTTTATTACATGACGCCATTTTTCTTTGAGTAACTTTTGAAGTAGTAGCTTCTCTTTGAGGGTTTTTCATCCCTGTATAGAATATTATTTTGAAAGGAAACCACCATGAATCGAAGTAATAACAACGACTGTCGTGTTTATGTTGGAAATTTGCCTCAAGACGTCAGAGAAAAAGATCTTGAAGGTGTATTTTATAAGTATGGCCACATCGCTGACATAGATTTGAAAAACCGACGCGGAGGGCCACCGTTTGCCTTTGTAGAGTTCGAAGATCCAAGGTAAATCATTATATTGGTGGATTAACCTTTGAAGGAATTCATTAGGCTTAATATGAAAGGAAATATGTTTTGAATCAGCGTTATTCTAAATCARAATGACCGATTACCTGACGTGGCTGTTTCGGAATGTCGCACGTTTGACTTTCTTTTTGGAAAAATTCATTGTAAATATTTCATGTCATTATCCTTCTTATAATTTCGGTTCCATGATATTCGTACAGGGATGCTGAGGATGCAGTGAGAGGGAAAGATGGCTATGAATTTGAAGGGCACAGAATTAGAGTAGAGTTCCCTCGAGGAAAAAGCGGCGGGGGAGGTGGTGGGGGTGGCAGAGGAAACTTTCAAAGCCGTGGCCGGGGGCCACCACCAAGAAGGTCAGACTTCCGTGTGCGTGTAACTGGTCTACCACCCACTGGCAGCTGGCAAGATTTGAAAGACCACATGCGAGAAGCTGGTGAAGTTTTGTTCACAGATGTATTTAAAGATGGMACTGGTGTTGTCGAGTATAAAACTCGTGATGGTATGAAATATGCCCTTAAGCATATGGACGATTCAAAGTTCAAATCTCATGAGGTAAATATGTGTTTTAGTAAATAGGAAGCAGAGGAAGCAGCAGTATCCAAAAAACATCTCAATGTTATTGAAAATAGTTTAGAGAAATAAACCAAATAAACGAGATTACTTTCTAATTRACATTGTTTATCATAGGGTGAAACCTCATATGTCCGTGTCAAGGCAGATCAAATGTCATACAGCAGATCTCGATCAAGAAGCTACTCKCCAAGAAGATCCTTCAGTAAATCTCCTTCGCGCTCAAGATCTAGATCAAGAAGCCCTGCAAGAAGACCAATGAGATCATATTCAAGATCCCCAAAGAGATCTCCAAGTCCAAGAAGATCAGYGAGCCCAAGGCAGTCAAGATCACGTTCAAGCAGTAGATCCTAACAAGTTTCTAAACAAATAACAGTGTGAATTACTGTTTTGTTCYGTCTATCACAAAAATGCTTGTAGAGTATAGTGATACATGCAATTTTTACTTGTATTATAGTCACACATTATCCTTTTTATTCCTAACGTACTAGTCAAAGATACAAAGGAAAAAAAATCTCCTTCAATCGTATTAAATTGGGATTGGAGAGGTTTGTATGAATAATATATGCTCAGTCTTTTTATGTGCTGAATTCCTTATTTTGTAGATCAATCCAGGATTGCTAGTGTGTCTGGTAAGGCACTAACAAGTGTCTTGGATCAGAGTAAAAACATACAGGATCATTGATTCATAACAATTGGAATGGATCTGTTGACAGGGATTCATAGGACGGACATTCACAATCAATGGATCATGGTATGCATAGGTTACCTTACCTATGTAGCCTTTCTTAGAAACTAAATATCCCAGTCAAATTAAGCAAATTATTTTCTGCATTTACTTTATTAAGTGCTGGGTATTTTTAAGCAGCAATACGTCTATTTTGTTCAGCTTACGGTGTTTGAATTCATAGGCATTGAGCTAATTTTTCCAAAGCTGTAGATTAATATAATCTTGATCCAATGTTGACAACTATCACTTGTCTTGTGCAGATAACATATCATGATCAGTGGAAGGGAATCAGGATCATTCTGTGATCATGGATTTCATAGGATTTCTTTTTGGGGATTTGACAAGTTGGATTGCATTGGTTTCATTGGCACTTCGCCATGGAGGAAYCTTTCTTGCTTCTTGTTTTTCAAGTTTCACGGAAACAWTCAGGAGGGATTTCTCTAAACTGTAAGGTGGTATACAGGAAAYATCGAGTCTCAAATTTTGAAAAAGGAAAAATCTCACAACTTGAGTTTAATCTAAGTCAAACATGATGCTCCAAGAGTTTTTTATTGACATTGACATTTTTGTAAGCTTTTCAAATGTTTGATTTTTAAAAAACTCTGAAAAGCTTATAAATTAGGTTGKTGGACATAAATAATGCTCTATATTTAACCCTTTTTTGCAGCAGTTTTCTTCAATAAACATTTAAAAATCAACAAACCTTGTGTATTTMTTGACTGTATTATTCTTGGAATCAAGCATTAGAATGCTCAAGCTGAATATAGAAAAATATTCAACATAGTCTTCTACTTCATAGAATTCTACTACTAAATGTGTAATGACTCTCCTTTCAAAAAACMGTGAGAACRCTTGGSCATGAATTTGTWCTAAGGTAGTATTATTCAAAAATTCTTGAAGGTTATTTCTAATGCTGTTACTTTTTGGGGCCCACCCCGAAAATTTTGTTGATCTGACTGCTGGAATTGGTTTGCATACCAAACGAGTCTTCCAGTTCGCCCTTCCTCTTCATATGTGTGAAAGAGAAAATTTTTCTGCGAACGAGATTGATTTATGTTTTTTTCATGTGTGTGGATTTAGCAATCGGACAGTTGTGGTTACAGCAATATGGGATTCCTGTGTATGTAAAGTGCAGTCAGTATATTTGGTCAGCAGAATAGACCATGAGCATAGCAACAGAAAACATGTCGGAAAGCAGTTTATTTTGAATATTTTGTATTGCGATATTTCTTAATTTTAGAGGTCATGGCATCTGCGGGAATCGTTTTATGCGATTCTTCTGAACTATACAATCTTTTAAATCAGGTATAATCTATTTAAGACATTTTCAGGTTAAAACAGATCGGTTATTTTTTCCTTTGATATTCCCTGMTCTAACTATGGTTTAATGTCGTAGACTTCACAGTTTCCATGTCTTAGCAATCCTAGCTACATGCTGTTACTGGGTACGTTTAGTTTTTGAAAGAAAGGTGCCTTTCGACTAGTACTAATAGCGTGGACCTTGTCTGTCCATAGATACGAGGAAAAGAAGTGAGTTCAATGAAAGTCACATTGTTACGGCAAAGTTTGCACCACGGGTAAGTTTTCGTTGGAAAAATAAGAATGGAAAATATTGTAAATGTGTGATGTTTGGAGCTTGATAATATTAATAATATTTGATGATATGCAATCATTGGATATCATGATGGTGTTGTTGATGATGATCAACCTGGGACAAAGAATGTATGCTTATTTTGATGATTTTAAATATTTTTGGGGACAAATGTGTGCCTATATTGATGATTTTAAATGTTTTGTTTTGTTCAAGTAGAATGACATTGGGGCTTTCCTTGTACCAGACAATGCTGAACTGGAAACCAAAGTTCATGTTGTCATTTATGACAACAATACGAGCTCACTTAAGGACAAAGGTAATCAGTGATGAAAAGTAGCATGGGTTCTGAAAATAATTTCATCAAGTAAACAGTAATTAACCAGTAACAATTTCAACTCATAGTTTTGGCTTCTATTGAGAATGCATGGCACAAATGGGAGACTAATCTTTGAGAATTCCAGAACTCAGTTCTCTGTCGGCTCTCCAAACCTTTCCACTTTCTTAAACACTCAGACAAGGGAAAAATGGGATTTCCATTCTGAAATCAAACAAAACAGAAAAATAAAAAAAATATTGTTTTGAGGCACTTGTATACATTCATGARATTTCTTTTAGGAAGTTCTGCTTTATCTTGTGCTAAATTGATGTGGGAAATGGGAAGCAAGAATCCAGTTAAAGTTGTCAAAGGTATGATGATGTTATAATCTATTAAACAAYCAAAGTAGTGGATTATTTGAACTCAAACTCCAGACATCACCTTGGATAAAGTATGTAAAGTTACCAACTCTATTAATTTTGCATTGATTTTGTCTGTTAAAAAGCAAATTAACCATTAAATATATGTTGTTTATTTGATCTAAAACTGGCACCAAATACAGGAGGTCTGATATATCACCTCTTTTTTAGGTGGATATGAGCAATTTTCAGCATTTTATCCATTTTTAAGAACACAGAAAATGATATATATGCCAAGGGTATGTACTTAATAATGATGATTTTGATATTTAATGACTTTTAAAAAATTTCAAAGTCGTGGTAATAAATGGTCTGGTCTGATGCTTGTCATTGATTTTTAGGAACTTGATGAAATTGTCACTTATCCTTTGGAAGTTATTCCWCAATTTCTGTATATTGGAAATTTCCAGCAGTCCCAAAATAAAGCAATCAAAAAAGTTTTAAAGGTCAAGGCACATGTCAATGTTTCCATGGAAACAGATAACATGTAAGTACAGTAGAAAATTAATGGAAATAATAATATTCCAATTGAACTTTTCTTCACCATTTTCACTAATGATCTGTTGAAATAGCTGCAATGCATTGCATTTTAAGCAACCTTTTGCAATATAAATACACCAACCAGGCTCAATTTTTTTTTACAAATTRCTTTCTTCAAAAGGGGCCCATCATCTTGTGGTTATAATACGACATGGTTAACATTTRGGACTTCTTTTAAGACATGTTTTAACTCTAACATATAAATTGAATTGAATTTATAGGTTCTCCAAAGATACAGTAATRCTAGGAAAAGATGAGAAAAAGATTAGTCCACTGCTGAATATCCCAATAGAAGATGACAGTGAGGCAGACATATTCTCTCATTTCCAAGATATTGTCAGTTTTATTGGTATGTTTCCTTACTATTCTCTATTCCTAAGGGAGCCTGCATGGTTGCTATTGCTGTAATACTTTTGTATCATTTTCAGACGATCACAACATTGAGGATGGTTATACAGTTTTGATATACTCCACTTTGGGCATCAGCCGCTGTATTACTATTGCTATTGCCTATATCATGTGGTACAAGAAAATTTCTTTAAAGGTATCTTAAGTTATGTGATAAAAAAATAATATTATATATTATTAGATGCATTAATAAAATGATAATATAGGCATATTATTTAATAATTATAGTGCATATCGTAACGTCTTGATTATGAACATAAAAATTATAATTACATTATGTGTTCCAATGATAAATTGCTACAGCTACAAATAAAGACAAATTATTATTAGACAGATTTTATTTATCACAAGTCAACAAAATATGGTATAGATTGTCAGAGTTTGCAGCTTGAGTTTGTCCATTATCTCTCATTTAGTTTTCTTACCAGCCTTTCCAGTCTTTCTAGTTTCAAAGCAGCTAAGTGTACTCTGTGTTTATAGACATTGTTGTACACTTGTACATTGACAGCTATGTTTAAGCGCCATTTACACTTAAGCATTTTTTCCTTGACAAGTTTTCCTCGACAAGGAAAAATTGCTCGTGTAAATGGGGTAAAATTGACAATTTTTCCTTGTCAAGGAAAAGCCAACATGTTCGCTTTTCCTTGACAAGGAAAAATTGTCAAGGACAAAATTTGCTTGTGTAAATGGACAACAAGGAATATGTGGTAAGGAAAAATTGTCAAGGAAAATTTGTTGACCATTCACACGGGCAATTTTTCCTTGTCAAGGAAAACTTGTTCTTCCTTTACACGAGCAAAAGAAACATTGTCAAGGAAAACTTRTTGACCATTTACACAGACAATTTTTCCTTGTCAAGAAACTTGTCAAGGAAAAATTGATCGTTTAAACGGCGCTTTACATGTTATGTATGTATTGCTGAGAACTTCATGCCATGATATTGTCTGATAATCACATTGAGCTGTTCCCTTGTTCAGCAAAATATTTTGGGTCTAAAGGCATTACAGGGTGCAGATAAGCTTGATTTAAATTTCTGTTTAATTCTATAGGATGCCTACAATCATCTAAAGAAATGCAAACAAAACATCCAGCCTACAAGAGGYTTCATTCAACAGCTTGCAAARTGGGAATTACAGCTTTTTGGAAAGACGATCACTGATATTGATGAAACTAATTATTGATGTTTTTATTGTATTATAAGTTTTGTAAATAATGGTTTTTAATTTATTACCTGCTGGTCTAAATAATACTGTATAGTCAGTGACTACTTTCATTAAAGTACCCGGTGGTTTTGAAGTTATAATAACATCCACCAGCTTATCATACTAATTAAGAAAAAAATGAGACTTTCTTGTTAGCAGTAAACGTGATAACAACAAGAAATATGGCAGATTTTATCATATTGTGATGATTTGAATTGTAACCACGATACTGATACATTATATGAGGATGACAGCCCTGTTAGTGAAAACCTTGACAGTTTGTAAAGTCAATATAGTTTTTAAAGAGTGACAATAAACTATATATTCAATGCAAATATTGATATTTCTAGTATTGATAATATTAGATTAATAAAAGAAAGTAACATCGTTAAACAGTTGACTCCCAGAATACATAATTACCAATGGGACCACAAGGTTGAATGGACTATGGGTTGATAGCCCATACATGCTGTATTCAGCTGAATGGACTATAATTGGCTTCTTTATGCACCTATCAATGTCTTGCCCCAATGGGGGAAGCCCGGGGCATACACAGGCCCGGCTATTGACAATTTTGGAAAACAAATGTCAGTGAGCCCCTCTTAAATTCTACRTCAAATGACAACAAGCCCCTCATATTATATTATAAAGTACACCAGGACCGCGTTGCTCAAAGCTCAATAAAAGCTGAGTCTGGTTTAACTCTTAAAAAACCTATGGAGTTAATCCTGGATTAACGMATGTTTGGCAATCTTTCTTGCAGTTGTAAGTGAATGAAATAAYATTGTTTAGTCTCTGATCAAATTGTCAATAAGCCCTACCCTGGGAGATCACTGCTTCAATAAAAGTCTGACAGCACCAGTTAGGGGCTAGGTTTGTAAGTCATTGATAGTGGTGCAAATTAAACTTTAGCCTGGGTGCAGTTGAATCGTTGAACCAAAACTGTTGTTTTGTTCAAGGCCAATTTTTTGTATCCACCAAACTATAAGCCAAAAAAACACTATATTAAAAATAACAATTYTTCTCAGCATTTTTTTGTCTTTTTTTAATGCTTTTTTTGTTGTATCCCCAAAAGAGGCAATTGTAATTATTTATTTGTATTTTTTGTATTCCATACTGAACCCTGAAATTATATTAACATGGTACAGCCCAATGTGTAGATCAGGCTATAAGCAAAAACTTTTGGAAACAAAAGATGATGAAGATTACATGATACTTCGAGTGCGCACTTTCACAGTCGTGTGTGCAGGTTGCGTGACAAATCTGTGTGAAGCTGCGATTTTCCTGAACCGCGACGTCACCCCTAACGGTCATGCGCACTGTCTTTCACTTGATAGTTTTTGACCGAAGGGACTTTAAAGGCAACGTCTGTTGTAAAACGTAAAGAAAATTACAACATACCAAAATGATTTCCAGAATTGCTTTACGGTCGCAAGGAACAAATGCCTTTTCCCGGCTATCAAGACAATTTTCTTCGTCTTCACAGGTGAGAGAGCATTATTTCGAGAAAGTTGAATNTTTCATGAATTAATTGCTTGCACTTTAGTGACTCAAAATCATGATGATCTTAATTTTTTGTATTGCTTATAATTTAACCAGCCACCATGCTTGTAGAGTTGGACTCCTCTTTTAACTCTTCGTGTGAAGACTTCGGGAAGAAATGCCCTTTTATAAAAATACTTCAGAGCTGGCATTGCTTCTTTATACCACCATTCGCTGTCGAACAAAACTCTTTGAACTGCAACTGCTTCATTACCAAGCCAAACCACAAAATCTACCCATGGTAGACTGCACACATACATCTGGCCTTGTATTTGGTAAAAGTAAGAATGTCCCCTTTTTAGAACAGGATTTCCATTGACAATTGTCATATAAAACTTTTTATCACTGCAGGCTTGTTCAATGCTCTGTCCACGWTTGGAATATGGACACTTGACTTCTAGGCCCCCTAATGTCCCATTTTGTGAAGATGGATCATATACTAATCTGTCCAAACTACAATCCCGGTCAAAAGGGTTGAGACAAAGTGATGAAGGTCCGTGGATCTAACGGCCATTCAATTTTCGATTAAATACAAAATTGAAAAATGCTTCCATTATTGTATTTTCTTTTTTGTAAAGAATTTGATTTAGAAATATTGATATTTGGAATACAACTTTTGCTTACGGTTTCAGTTCAAAAATACAAATTACTTTATGTCGATCAAAAATTGCTTCGAACCGACGGTMTGAAGTTGATGTCATTTTTTTGTTTAAAAACAAAAAAGCTTATCATCGACCATTGTTGTTATTTCAATGACGAGCGCATTTACCAATGGATAAAATCAAAAACCAATTTTCTAATTAGTTTTGATTAAAAAATACTTTCGACTTGGGAGAAAAAAACGACTCACTCTGGGTAGCTCAGGACTCTTTGGCCTCCATGAACTGACAACTAGGGGAGGGCCTAGTCCAGCTCTCGTTATCTCTACGGGAGGGACAGGGCAAAATTTTGCTTGTCCGACGAGTTGTTGGCAGCCATATTGGATTAATTTATACACATTTGCTAAGAGTACCGGTGTATGTATATGAATTGTTGATCTAAATAGCAAGATGGACAAAGAGGTCTTTGTAGGCTAGGGGTTTCTTTGTGATTCTGTGAACTTCGATGGAGTCAGAATGTCAACGAGAACATAAGCTTGCAGGGAATCTTTTTTCATTGATGGAAAATCGAAAGTACAAGCTTGCAGGATACACATTTTTATTCATGGATGAGAAAGCTGAAGAAGGACAGAATAAAATAGCATTATCTAGTCGGTAAGTTATGTCTTCGATTATACTCGTCGCTTTTACTCATCCTTTGCGTGAAACATCGTTGCTATAAGCTTTTATTTTTTTTCGGTCCGGTATCCTAGTCTGATTCGCGCCCTAAAAACAATTTTTTTTTCCTCACTTTTAGGATACCTGCACTTGTACAGTCATGATACACAAAACTATGCCTGCGTCTGAAAATGTCGTCACTTTTGATAGAACAATCATGCTATAAGTGGATAGAATTTAACAAATGCAATTATGTACAATCTATGGAGAATCAAAGTATGCTTCTTGGTCTTGGAATCAAGTTAGAATTGATAGGGTAAACAAACATCCAACCCCTGGTATGACTTAACTGAAATCAGAGTGTATTCAATTGCTATTACCATAAGAAACCATATTTTTAGTGAAAATTACATATGGAAGTACTTGTCTTCTATTTCACATAGCTCCAATGTACATGTATAACATTAATATATAAAAAATAATGGCCTTCTTCAGCTGAGTGTTTTATATGCACCACTTCCTATATACAACAAAGCAGCTAACAGAAAACAAAGAAACAATGATTGAACTATGAAAACCTTACAAAAAACCTGACAGGTGTCAGAAAATGGCACACATGTGACAAGTTATTAAAGCTTACAAATTATAAGTAAATTCAAAGTATAATAGTCAAATGTAATATTTTATTTTTGAAGTAAACACACATCAATGCTTGTACAATATTGAATAATCAAGCTTAGCAATCATACAAGTGTCCATGGTTACACAACTTACAGTTTTCCTTTTTTTCATAGTTTTGCATCACTGTCAATAATAATTAAGTTAAGAATGTCAAACCCAAAGTCACCTGAAGTGAACAATATTAGCTAGACTGAGTAAAAGTAGCTTACTGGTACATAGCACATTCCTCAATGTTTGCACTTATTTCTCAATCTAGTTAATTGTTAAATACAATTTAAAAATTAAAGCCTAAAAAATAAATAAATGAATAAAAGTGGGATATTGACATCATCTGGGTTAGACATCT